AAGATGGTAGAGGACAGGAAGATCTGGAGGAACGTTGTCCATGGGGTCGCGATGGGTCGGACACGACTTCGCAATTAACAACAACAACAAGGCCAAAGTCCAAGGCCGAACTACAGGCCTTTCTGGTCCTTCTGAACTTTTACAACTCCTTCCTTCCAAACAAGGCTAGTGTAGCCGAGCCTCTTCATAGGCTCCTGGACAAACAGGCAGTGTGGCAGTGGTCACAAAAACACGAAGCAAGTTTCAATGAGGTTAAGGCCTTACTCACTTCTAACAGTGTGCTTGCACATTTCAATGAGTGCCGTCCTGTGTGCATCGCTTGTGATGCTTCTCCTGATGGGGTGGGAGCTGTACTAAGCCATCTCAGACCGGATGGAATTCAGGTTCCTGTTGCATATTACTCCAGAACCTTGTCTTCAGCAGAGCGAAATTATGCTCAAATTGACAGGGAGGCTTTAGTTGTTGTTGCTGGAATCAAAAAGTTCCATGATTTCCTATATGGCAGGCATTTCACGGTCTTCACTGACCATAAGCCTTTGTTGGGGCTGTTTACCACACATAAACAAACTCCCCAAATCATCTCCCCCAGAATGCTGAGATGGTCTATCTTTCTGTCTGCCTATGATTTTTCCTTATTTCACAAACCTGGGAAAGAAATGGGCCATGCTGACGGCCTCACTAGATTATCCCTGCCAATAATAGAGGCTGACCCTGCACCAACAATCAATATCCTCTTCATTCAGGCCTTGCCTGAGCCCCCTTTAGATGCCAGGGATGTGGCTGCTGAATCAGCCACAGATCTCACACTTTCTCGTGTCCTATCTTGGGTTTTATCTGGATGGCCAGAGAGCTATACAGGCACTGAGTTTCAGAGTTTCTGGTCCAAAAGGAACGAGTTATCCACTTTCCAGGGTTGTCTGCTTTGGGGGAGCAGAGTTGTCATTCCTGCCTCAATGAGGACTAGGGTCTTAGGTTCCCTCCATGAGGGTCATCCTGGCATTGTACGTATGAAGGCGCTTGCGCGCAGCCATTTGTGGTGGCCTGGGTTAGACAGAGACATTGAGGCTAAGGTGCATGCATGCCACCTTTGTCAGCGCTCACGCCCTGAAATGCCCCAAGCTCCTGTACATAGATGGGAGGAAACACAGTCTCCATGGTCTAGGGTGCACATTGACTACGCTGGGCCCTTTCAGGGTCAATTCTTCTTGGTCCTGGTTGACAGCCATTCAAAATGGCTTGAGGTTGTACCTGTCTCTTCCACCACCACTGCAAAGACTATTCAAGTACTGAGGGGGATTTTTGCTGCACACGGGCTTCCTGATGTCCTCGTATCTGACAATGGCCCTCAATTCACTTCTTCCGAATTCCAAGCTTTCTTACAGGCCAACATGATTCGTCATGCCACCTCTGTGCCTTTCCACCTGTCCACCAATGGTATGGCTGAACGCATGGTTCGCATCACCAAGGACGCTTTGAAGAAAATTACCTATGGAGACTGGCATCACAGGTTGGCTGACTTCCTCCTTTCTTATCGCACTACACCTTCCACTTCTACCGGGAGGAGCCCAGCTGAACTTCGTTGGGGGTGCAAACTGACCACCAAGCTTGACCAGTTGCACCCGGACAGACTACCTTCCACAATCACACACCCCAGAGCACCTAGACAACTGCTTGTGGGTGCCCCGGTTTGGACTCATAACTATGGGCCTGGTCATTCATGGGTCCCTGCCACTGTGTCCAGGGTCACAGGTCCTTTGTCCTACGAAGTTTCTCTGGACGACGGTCGTGTCCTGCGACAACACATCGACTAGCTCCGCACTAGACGGGACCTTCCCACTGAGACTCCTGGTTCTTTTCCAGGGGGGAGGGGGACCCCTTTGGGCAAAGGGAAGAGTGCGGGCTGCCACCTATCATTAACAAGGGAACTACAGACAGCTCATTCCGAGATTCCGTGAGTGCTCCAAACAGGAATTCATGGAGCCCAACTAGAACTCAGGCACCAGTACCTACTCCAGCCAGGGAGTCACCCCGGGGGCATAATCACTACTCACCCACATCACTCAGTACTCCAGTCAGGGAGGATATCTGGGAGCGTCCAAACAACCCACACCCTGCAAGAGAGCTGGCACACATTCCGTCTAGTTGGCCCAACACTGCCCCTGTCCCTAGAAGGGGGCAAGCACACAGGGAGGTGGTTGAGGAACCGAATCCCGACTACAACACCTCTGGCATTACTCAGGGGACAACTGAGTTTTGGGACAGTACTGAAACCCCAGCAAGCCCAGGTACAGAACGGGAACATGGGGAAAGACAACCTCTTGACAGGTCTAGGACAGACCTGGGAGGTTCTACAGAGTTGCCCAATAGTGACAGTCACTTAAGAGGGCCAGAGAGCCTGCAGCCAGGCAGGACAACCAGGTCAAACAGAGAAAGAAGCCCTGGCCTGACGAGCCCGGTGGGCAAGCAAGCAGGCCAGGCATTGGAGCACAGTCCTTGGGGATCACCAGGGCCTAGCAAGGGAGACAAGCATACATCACCCCTCAGTCAAGGGGTACTTGGAAGGTACCCAGAAGTCAGGAGGTCACAGAGAGCTAAAAGATCTCCTAAGTATTTAGAAGATTTTGTAACCCTACTGGCAAAACAGCGTTAACAGAGAGTATTCCTGTACACATAGGAAATAGAATACTGGGAAACAATACAAGCAAAAGGGATAACTGGTACAAAGCTAGTATGGGGTTGTATATTATTATTTGTATGATCATAGTCTTAGCCGGGGGGGAAGGGATGTTATGTCCTGAGCCAGCACTTGCGCACATGCGCGAGTGCAAGCGCGCCAAATGTTGCAGTTTGGCCCGGGAATCACCTATAAAAAGGGCAGGGAGATTTGGGCGTTGTCGGCGTCTTGTAACCAGTATGCTGAACAGAAATAAAGAGGTTCCTGAGAACTACAACTGCTTCTCGTGTCATTGCCATTTCGCGAAGGACTTAACAGAAAGCTTTATGATACTGTCTAGGAACATTAATTTTTTTTTATGTTCATGTTTTGACAAGATCCTTGCATCAGTAATATGAGAATAGATCCACCAGTATAACCTGTTCTGACCTTGATTAACATATACAACTACATTATGCAAAATATTGAAACTTTCGAACTTGTAATTATAAGTTTTTTTTTCTGAAGAGTTATATACACCATTATTTACAATCGCATAAGAGCTGAACTTTAAACAAGAAAACAAAAATGCCATAACAGGCCCAAAGACAAATTTAAATGTTCAGGAATAGTTTTCAAAATTTTCCGGAATATTATACCAATATATTAGATGTCAATTTTTTATGAGTATTTAATAGAATTATAGCTTGTTATGATTTGTTATGTACATTCCTGATTCTTCCTGTTGCAAGTTAAAGTACAGAGTTAATTCCTTCCAGTCATCCTTAATATATCTTTGATGAAATGAGACATATCTTATAAATGCAAATACTTCACAATATTTAAAGGCCTTTCTTTCAAATTTCTTATTCAATCATGTGATAATTAGTTCTTTAATTTTTTAAAAAGTCCAATATATGCCTTTTATATGGACTGTATTCAATCTGATGTTCCAAAAAGCCTTCTTTTGTAAATGTGTTGTTAAATATCTCTTCTCTATTTCAGTCATATAGAATTTCATTGAGTATTTTATAAAATGTGTAAACATATTGCATAAGACAGTTGGAGATGTATTCAAGGACAGATTAAATTATGATGAGTGAATTCTGTATTATATCACTAATGAAGGCATGATGATGAAAAAATTGATTTATATATAGAGGGGGCACTATAAAATATTCTAAAGCATTTATTTCATTATGTTGAATGCACTTATTTATTACCAGTTTGTGGTCTATCACACTGAATGTAGGAATGAAATATTCCTTGTGGATTCTTTCAGATAACACTTCACCTCCAAATTTTATTGTTATACAAGTGTTAAATCCAATTGCGTGCATATTAGAGTGCATTTACATGATGATATTTTAATCTTTTTTTCAAAGGTTTAGTTTTGATACTTATTTTTTTTACAAAAAGACGGGAATAAGTGTTTGTATGTCATCAACTATTCAAAATAAATGGCCTAAATTAATTAATTAATTATTTTATATGCCACTCATCTTACTATCAGGCAACTCTGGGCAGTTCGCAATGTTATAAATTACGATATAAAACAATTAAAAATCAAAAGATGAAAACAGTGGGCAGCAAAGTTAAAACATTAAGTTAACAATAAAATGAATTAAAAATTCATTACATAGATGGGATGGAGGTGGAATCTTCTACTAATCCACTATGGTAGCCACCAATAACATTAGACACCTACCCCCAATTGCCCCTCTCCATAAATAAAAGGAACATGCTTCTGTTTGATTGCTGAAGCTAAGGTGTTATAATTGGATAAGAAATCCTAATAAGTAGCCACATATAACTTATATTCTGAACACATTTTTTTTCATTTAGGCAAATTCTAGAAACATTGGGCTATAATCCTCTTTCATTCTAGCCTTTCTTTAATTTTAGCTACATACATCCATATATAACTTAATATTTAATTTTTTTAACAAACAACATTTGCACTATGTTTACAATAAAAGCTTATTATTTAACCCATAGAACCACTGTTGGCTACTGATTTAATGGACAGTCTGTTGCACTTTCAAATATATTTCATACTTTTTGCCAATATCCTGTAATTCTAGGATACTCCCACCAAGCATGGCAAGGAATATTTTTTTCTGAGTGTTAATTATGCTAGAAGAATCTGGCTACCAATTAAGATCTCTTGGGAATCTGAGACAGGAACCGTATAACTTCTCTTACCATAACTGAAAAGGTCAAAAGAAATTTGAGGCAATAAATTAGCTCAATTAAAAGAACCCATTTATTCTATGGGTGAAAGGAAAAATGGATTTGTTCTCAAGGCCACTGTGTACCAAAGGCTAAGAGTAAAAAGCCTTCTTACCTTTGGAGTTTATTACACCAGCTGCAGTTGAAGCCAATCTGAGACATGATACAGGGTTCACACCTGTTAAACTGAAGACAAGCTGTAAAAAGATAATAAGATAAAAATAAAATGTACATGCACATAGGGCCAAGCAAATAAAAATAAACTGTTCATCTTAACAAGATTTTCTACAATCAGTTTTTTCAGGAAGTTATTCTCTTCAAAGGAAATAAAAAATGGTTGGAGAACAATAATTTGAAACCGCTAGGACACACTATGGAGATAAATACATCTCCTACAGACTGATCTTCTACAATTAGTTTTGATCCCATTGTAATTGTAATGCCTTCCTACAGCTTGTCATATCTTGTATAGCTCCTAAATCTGCCATTCTGCTATAAAACTTTCTTTATTTGTTTCTTTATGTCTGTTTAATAGCATAATGTTTTTTACAGATGGACATAACGAAAAGGTTAGGAAACTGTGAAAGAGCCATAACTGGATTAAAAATAGTTCAGCTGCTGAATCTGTTTTCTTCAGATGAGTTATGAGCAATTTCCATTCCAAGCTTGTCTACTTCTTTTGTTGTTTACATTTTCTCACATCAATATCCACAATGGATGGCCAACCTTTGACAGAGACCTCTTGATCTGCTAGGTGCATCTATTACCTTTTCACTTTTGAAATGAATAAACAAACAAATTCCACAGAGATCTTTGATGAAGCTTTGTTTCAATCAATGTAAGAAATTTGAGATAGCAAAGTGTCATATATAGATATATATTAATGATATGAGCAGGGCAAGCAGATGGCTATCAGTACCTTAACAAATATAGAGTACCAAATACAGAACTTATGGCAATCAATCAAGTAAGTAAACCTATAATAAAGCTGCAAAAACAAAACAAAACAAAAAACCAACCAGACAGTGGAAATATCAAGAAAATAGATGGAAGAAGGGATCAGTTGCTATCCACAGTTCTATATTACAAATTACACCTTAAAAATTATGAGGATCAGTATTCTGATATAATGCTGAAGGTACTAACATCTGAACCAAGTTTGCCTCTCTTTTATGGATATAATTCTCTCAAAGCCCCTCAATTTATCTCAAAGACTATAGCATTTCTCTGTAATTCCATGGGTATCTGCAAGCTCCCACTGCTTTTGTCAAAATGATGAAAACAATATCATACTGTTAGTTATGACACTTTTGAATGTGTATGTACTGGCATAACACATGTACAAAAGAGGCAAGGCTTGCACTGTGACATTGATTTTATCACTGTTTGTCTTTTTCCCATTCCTGTGAACATAGCTGCTGAGAAGAATTGAATGAATAAAAATGTCCAGGAAAGTTAGTGGAACAGGTATTTAAGAAGCTTCAGTTGTTATCACCCTAATAGAGGGGGCCCGATGATGTAAATGTAGCTTACTCTGTGAGATGCGCGAAGTTCATTCAAGATGAAACAGTGAGCTCTATCATGGTGTTTGCATTATGAACTTTTGTACATTTAATTTAAGACCAGCACACTATTGATTATTCCATGTCACCTCCAAACAAAATCAGGCAAAATAAGATCCCTAGAGAAAGTATATCACGGCTGCCTCCAACCTGGTGTACTTGTAAAAAGTAGTGAAAATTAATGCTCATGTTCCTGTAGTCAGCACAGGTAATGTATCTTGTTGCAGAAAGATGGTACATAAAAAATCAACATATATACTATTACTTAAAATATTAAACTATAATTAGATTCACATTCCATAATGCCTTATTGTTAGATTTCACTTAACATATTTTCTGAACCTATTCACAGTGGTATGTCACCCATGGATTAATATATTGTGCAAATCAGCCTAATGTAGCTTGGTCAAAAGTAATATTTGAGAAGATTTTATTTTATCAAAAAGTATGAACCTACTAAATTGTATGAATAAACTTACAATTACAAACATAAACACACACATGGAAAAAAAAACAAATGACTGAGAAATGACTATATAAGAAATCGATTTATATATAAGAATAATGTAGATACACAAAGATTAGTATCTATATAATACTGACATTTTGTGAAAAACATGGGATTTACCATGTAAAGTAGAAATATAAATATATAGCACATTATATCCACCATTATATTATTGTGTTGATTTAAACATCAACAGATATAGGTAATTTTACTCTACTGGCCAACAATATAAAATATTTCTTTTTTTGTGCATTACAAATGCTATAAAAGAAAAGTGGCATGTTTTAAACACGGCCTTTAACAATGTAGTGTTATCTGCATATTAAATATAACTTACTGGGCAGAGGAATCATCTCAACAGCTGACAGATTGGTAACCTTGGACATCTGAAGTTCCACTTTGTGATATTCATAGATTGTTCTTCTACGAACATCTGTAAGAAAAGATACATTAGCACTGTGTTATGTTGTTTAAACAGGAACTTTATTGACAAAGTATTTATATTATCAAGTCAAGATATGTATTGTTAAAGTCATTTATGTGTTAAATACATTTTAAAAAAATAATGATTTTCATATAGATTGGAGTATTTCCCCTTTTTATTGAAATTAATTTTGGGTAGGGTCACAGTTAAATTAGAGTTGGCACTAAAGCATTTCCTAAAACAAAATATTCATTGCAAAACCATACATGGCTTGCTTTAAAAATATTCTGCAAAGACTACTTAACAGAAAAATCAAATCACATTGTACAATTTGCTGCTTGCTTTACTACACATTAGTTTTTAAATTATGTTCAGAGGTAAAGATATTAATGTTATGATGGTAACACAAATTTATATCATTAAGAAATTAAGAACCATCAATTATATTTTCTTCTGTAATTCTTGGTTCTTGATAGAAATTTTCACTAAAAGAGATGCAATAAATGCTTTGATTGCAATAACAACAAAAGACAGGGAAGAATGGGGAAAAGCCATCAAACAGTTTTCAGTATTAATCATAATTGGAGAAGATAGGAAATTTTGGACAATAGTCCAAATTACAAACTATAAAAATGTAGCCATCTTGTTAGCAATACAAGATAATCTAGGATTAGTATCACCCAAGGAGACAATTTTGTTTTGTTAAACTACTCTTACATTCATATTGGGAACACAGAAGTCCTTCCGGGGAGAAAGGATTAGCTGGGGATACTCAGTTGGGGATTCCTTTTTGTCCAAGTTAGGTTGCCCATTGAAGTGGTACCCATTTATTTGCTCATGGTCCCCTGCTTTCAAATTGCTAAATCAGCAGGAGCTGATATGAGTGATGGGAGCTCACCTCATCATGTGGCAACCAGGTTTTCAATGCGAGCCTGCCAGTTGTCAGCCTAGCATCTTATCACATGAGCCACTGCGCTGCACTTTTGCTAAACTAAATCAGGGGTTCATCACATACCTTCTTAAAATATTTCTTTCATCTTGCTTTTGAGCAAATTTAGAATTCATCTGCTGAAAGATAATCAGCATATCCTCTGTTAATCTTTTATAATTTCTGGAAGGTTCAGTCAAAGTGACAATGCCATCAGTTTTATTTATCTGTTCATTTGTTTCCTTTAAAAATAAACAACCCCAAATGACAGACTTCTTATTTGTCTGGGATTTTGGCTTTTGGTACTGGTAAGGGTTCACTCAAAATATAATTCTTCATTGCCTCAGCTTACAAATGCACTTAATGGATAAGACACTGCCAGAAAAATGTCTTCCTTTTTTGGCAATGAACCTATTCTAATCCAGCACAAATTAACACAGTTTATTAATACAGTCCATTTGTTCTAGCTCTATGCTTTTGGCGCTCTAAACAGGATAGAACTCTAATTCAGAATTTTTTTGTTATATTTTCAGATTTCCCTGGTAATAGTTGTTTTCATATAATAGGCTGTTAACCCTGAGTCAAACAGAGATGGGAGCAAAGAGAATCCTGTCACTAACAGGGTTTAAGCTAGCCCTAAACTAAACAACAAACTCAATTATCTAGAAGGGAATGTGCTCATCTATAATGGAAAATTAAAAAGAATATATGACTTTGTCCCTAAGCCACAATTTGTCAACACATGCCTATGAAACAAGGTAAGAACCAGAGCTTTTCTCTGCTACTTTCTGGATGTAGAAGCTTTTACACATGTAGTACAGGATTTATTTTTAGTTTATTTAAAATACAAAAAACATAATGTCTGCTTGTCTGAAAAGAGCGCCCTATCTTTTTCCAAACACTAGTAGTGAGGATCATTATTCATTATTTTAGAAACTGGCCAATTTTCATTATGTATAGTTCTTGTACAAGACTACAATTGGGACTGGCAATTCCAATGCTAAGTGACACATTTGTTAAAGGAGATATCACATGTCCATTGCAGACTTATGCCCTCAATTCTGCTTGGTTGTTAAAGAATCATTCATGGTCATTAAGTGAGACATTGTGTCACAATGATTTGAAATTTTACTGCTGTATTCCCTGTTGACTCTGTTTGTTGGAAACTGACTATGACACATGCAAATGACAACCCTATGACTGTGGGACACAACAACAGTCATAAAAGCCCACCAGTTGATCATTTGACTGTGGGGAAACTGCAATGGTTTCAAGTGCAAAAACCATTGGTAAAATTACTTTTTCAGCACATCATAACTTTGAATGGTTGAATTTCAAAGAGCAAACATCATTTCAACCACATTCAACCCACACGCTAGCCACTCTGAGAGCATTATTTTGAACCTAGGGCCTACCTATTTCTACTTTCATATTCTTAGGACCAGATCAGAATTATTCTGTAATTTCTATTCTGGAAAACAAGACTTGATTCCAGATTTAAAATTAAATTGAGATTTATCTGTCTGCATCAAAAGTGACCATTTTCAAGTGACAGAATTGATATAGTGAGATAGTATTTGCATTATTTTATGGTACTATTCATAAGTCAATATATCAATAAACAACTGACTGAAAAATTTACACTCTAGAATTTCCTTTTAGTTAAAATCCAGTGTGGTTGTCATTTATACAGGTTGGTAGAAATGGTAGCAAAATTAGAATAAAATTAATTCACTATTTAGTTCTAGTTGTTACACTGAGCAACCTAGAGCTTTTCTTCAAATGTCTCCTGCCAATCCACCCTGTTCAATAGTCATTTGTCATTCTGATATAAATTATAATACTGTATCATCACCACTATCTACTCTGCCAACTGGCTAGTTAAAACATTTTACTCAAAGTAGCTGAAGAAATAAATGTTCTTTTGGTCACCAGTTATTTCTACTGGATGGCCTTTCTTTGAGTGAAGATATGAAAATACCATTAGCGATGAAGAAATTTCCTATGTATGAATAGAGTACGTATTATTCCAAATATAGTGAAGCTGATATGCATATTCATTACCATGAGTTATGATGCAAAAGGCTTTAACTTAGATAAAAAGACCATTCTCATAATAAACTTTATAAGTATTTTTGCACAAAATTGAAATTTCTAATATATATATATATAAGCCTGTTTGTACTATGCTCATGAGAATATGTAGCCTCCCTCTAGAAAGTACTACTTACAACAGAAGCAAAGCAAGACAATTTCTGCAAGTTCTCTACATCTCTCATAGACTGATATAAAATGGCAAGATTCATGGGATGGCTAGGATGCTTCTTCACTGAATAGACATCGCACCCTAAAAGCTCATCATAGCTGTTAGAGTATACTATCAGGCTTCCCAGTTCCACATTCTCTGGCAGCTTGCCTTTTGCTTGATGACACCTTACCAGTAAATATTATTATTCCATAATCCAGAACAATAATTGTTTAGTTGAGCGATTAGTGGCTGCCTGGGTCTATGTGCCACTGAAGAAAATGAGTATTTATTGGGGCGAGCATGCTAAGGAACAACTGGCCCAGGGTGGGTGCATTCCCTCGTAGCTGTCCAATTAGGTTGTTTGAATGAGAGCCTGGCAATCATGGAGGAAGTGCCCAAAAATACAGATGGTCAGGTAGAAACCTTTCCCAATGTAAAGGATGAAACGGCAAGGCATGGAAGAAATATTTTCAGGGCAGATAGAGACATTGGAACAAATGACTCTGGCTCTCAAGGCTGGGGTAAAATATCAAGTCCATTTAATTGGAAGCATGGGAGAAATTGACATAAATCTTGAAGGAAGCAGGCAGGTAGGCAGGCAGGCAGGCAGACATATATGTGTGACCTAACTTCTAAGATGTACAATAGATAGATTTTGTGTGTATGTGTGGCTGCTTTCTTGTTTGCAATAAAACTACCCATCAACCCATGTTAAGTCTGCAAAACCTCTCCTATTAGCTGGCTATTGAAGGCAGTGTTGAGTTTTTCAAGAATCTAGATTTATTGCTATCCCTATTGTGTATACATCAGTTGACTACTGCTGTATGAAAATAATAAAGGATATTTTGTAGATGCTTGCAGAGAGAGATTGGAATTTGTGGACATTTTCACAGCTTGCACAGAGTACAATACAATAGTACAAACTACTATTACTTTCTTGTATTGAAGACATCTATACAACGCAACTTTAAGACAAGAACCATGTTTACTGTAATGATCATTGGGTGACTGCTTTACAAGAAAGAGGGACCTTGAACAGTGGAACAGCAAAGCTTTATAGAAATTGAGAGCTACAAGGCAGGAAATCCTCTGACTGGCTGGCTGTTCCGGGGAAATTATGTTGATCCTAGTCTGTATGTGTAGGGGTGAGTTCTATTATTTAGGCAAGATAGATCTTTCAGGAGGGTAGCAGAGCAGAAGAAGTTCGTTGTTCTCACACCTCTCTGTGGTCTGTCTTTTAAACTAGGTGAAAGAAAAAGAAGATATCTTGGATGATTTTAAAATGTGGCACACCTAATTGGAACAGTATAACTGCAGCACAAATATATGACACAAAGTCCATATTTTAAGTCAACATAACATAAAGTCAACATAATTTAACACTGTCATTATTAGGTACTGATCCATAGCTCTATGTAAAAGAGCTTGGGGAAAAGGACTAAGTTCAAATTGTATTATTTAATATAAAACAGAACAATGATTCTAAAGATCATATAATCTAAGTATTCTTAACCTATTCTTAATGATTAGAGACTGGGCCTCATTAATACTTAGCAGAACATGAAGGGATTTCAGGGCTGTAGGTTAGATTGTGAAGTAAAAAAAGAAAACCAATCAGAAGGCTACTATTCCATACTTTTATTAAGAAAATTATATGGACATCTCCCTGGGGACACAGGAGTTGAGCTCAAATTAAAGCAGTCTTTAAGTATTAATAGTAAAATAAATTATATTGTTTTTTCTATAGGTAAGCTAAAAGGAAAAAAGCTTGTATAAATAATCATTATTGTATGAACACAGGGATATTTAATGTCCCTCTAAGCTCTCTTAGTGGAATAAAGAAATTGCATATATGAAATCCTACAAGTAGAATTTTCATTTTATGAAATTTTCTTCAAAATAAATGATTATTACAGTGATAATCTTTTATTCAAGTTCTTTGTTGTTTTTTCAGTAAAAATAACCAAAATCCTGTAAAATAGCTGTTTTGAACTACAGAGAATCTTGAGAAACCTTTTGAATAGCTGACAAAAAGTAATGTAGTGTCACAGTGGGAGTTACAAGCTAAGTAAAATTATATTTAAATTAGTCAGCTGAACCTAATAAAACTTCTAGTTTTGTTTAGTTAAAACATTTTAATCTCTTTTAATCTCTTTTACTCTCACACATAAATCATATTGGCTCATGCTATGTTCAATAACAACATACTGGGAATTTGCTGGATCCTGTGGAGAACCACAAATGCATCTGACAGCCCCACTTTGACAGGATGATTAGTTGAACTTATCTGGGACACTGAGACAGGAATCTGCCAAAAAAGGGGGAAAAGAGATAGTTTTTCAGTCAATCTATTTTTGATAGTAGCTATTTATCACTAACATGACATTATAAAATGTAATCAAATGCTGAACAAGGTTTGTACATGGTAACCCGATCTTCCTTAGCTTTATGTAGAGTAAAAGGAAAGAAGGGGACGAACATTTTTAGTGTTGTAAAATTATGTTAATGTAACCTTACAACAAAACCATAGCTAGTATTCATATTTGTGCTTGTCTGAGTACCAGGAGTACAAATATTAGGCTCTTTTTCCTGTCTCCCAAGGTCATTTCCGCATACCATTTCATCTCTCTTTTCTTGCTACTGCTTTTGTCTGAAATGGAGTTAATTTATAGCTGCTCTCCACAGATTTTCTATATAGCTTTAAACTGACCTTTCAAAAAAGAGTACATTCATTTGGAGATGAAATAAAATGCAATAAACAAGTACACCATGAGATGTGACTTGAATCTAATATTTAAAGTTTTGGCTGACCTGCTCACCAATTTCATGTAAGTACCTCAGCAATTATGTTTTCAAGTCTGTCATCCACAGACTTCATTGTCAGATCGCTCTAGGAACAAAGCTTACAAAAACTTGAAATACAACAAACATTTTCCCCAAACAATTTAATTTGCTTATTGTGTAAACAACTTTTTTTCTAATGCTGTTCTGTGAGCATTAATAGAATTCTGCACAGAGAGCCACAGAGAAAGTAAATATGAAGAGAAACAAATTCCATTTCTGTTACTGAATATTTTATAGAAATTCTATTAATTCTGGAAAACAGCAAAACTATAACCTATTTGGACTCTCTAAATTAAGGGGGACAATGATCTTTGCATTTTAAACATCCAAGAAAAGGCTGGTTTTGAAGTAATTTGCTTTTCAAGATTTTTTTAATAATATATTTTATTAATTTTTTAACATGGTCACCTTAATATTTGGTAAACAGTGTGTTGTCTGGGTTTACATTTAAAAAACATTCGCTAAGAATTGGTGTCTATGATCTAAAATTCACATAATAGCTTTAGTTGATTTCCTCTTCTTCCCATAATGTTCTCTTTTACCAACCTTAAGTTAATAAATTCTTATTGTTTTGTTAGATCACAATTGAATATAATTTTTTTCTAATATTTCTGCAAATAATAATCACATCAATATAACATTTCTTTTCTATCTAGTCATTCTGTTTGCCTCATCATAGATCCCATTTACAGTTCTTGTTTACATTTGTTTTTCCCACAATATTCAAGATATTCTTACTGATTTTCTCAAAATTAATTGCATTTAGATATTTGATACTATTTTTTTTCTCATGTAAACCATCCCATAACTTTTACTTTACTTAAGGAATAAATAAGTCTAAAAAAAGAGAAAAAAAGAACAAGAGTAAAGAGGGATAAAAAGATAGTATACTACTGAAAGTCCAGGTTTCCCCTAAGCTAATACATATTTCCAAAAAAATTCCATTCTTTTTTACCATAATTAAAATATATTTAATCTTTAAATATTCCATTTAACAAATCTAGTCATCTGGTCTTTTAACTTTTATTCATTTTTTTTTCAATCCATTGTAATTTTCTTAAAATCAATCACATTTAAATATCTAAAATATATCCTTATATATAAGCCATTCTAACTCTCTTATACTACTCATATCAAGAGATAAGATAAGAAAAATGAAGAAAGAGAGTACTATGCTATTTGAGGGAGTGCTCCCTCTTAAAGTAAAATTCATATCCAAAATCTTTCTATTACTTTAACCATATTCAAACAGGTCTTTCTTTTTTAAATATTTTCTCTGATATGTCCCATCATCTATTTTCTTAATTTTCATTTTGGCCTTTTTCTTTTGCCCAATATCTTTAATCAATATATTCTGCTGAATCAAAGAGTCTTTCCATATTCTTGTAGGTGTCACTGTAGATATAAAAAAATAGGTCAAATACAATGTCTTTGTAAGAGGCATTTGCTCTTTTATGTTTGTTGAAAATCTTTTTCTTTCTTTTTCTGTCTGTATCTCTTATCATTTTTGTCTCTCCAGTCCTAGTGGTGTTCCTAATGTCTCTATAATCCATTTTGACCAGTCTTTTTTCTTATCCTCAAATTTGTCTTGTGGTCTTAAAGTATAAGTTACCTTTTCCAAAACCAATATTTCTTGTAATTTTTTTTCCACTTTGGTTAAATCATACTTCTTTGTTGTGTTAAATTCCATCTTTCAGTCTCTATCCTCGAATTTGTGTTCAGTTATCTGTTTTATCTGCTCCTTCTCTATTGTAATTTCCTGGGATTTTTTTGTTGTAACGTTAAATTAGAGATTAATTGGTTTATGTTTTCAAAGTTATTTTGGATTTATTTGTGGTTTGAAGTCGTTGTTTGAATTAGTTGCAGCATCTCATATGTCTCCTCTTGAAAGATATTTATTTTTTGTTGATAAGTTCTTTCTGCAAGTCTCTGATTTTCTATAGTGGTCAAGAATTGAGGTTTTCTTTTCTCTGAAAATAGCTTAAGAGTCACAGTTTAGTTGATATTTATAATCCAAAATGGTTCAAAAAGGTTTCCTGAATTTTATAATCCTCTCTTTGTCTGCAACCCAAATTGTTTTCTTTTTTTGTCACAGCTGTTCTCTATTGTTATAGCTTTGAAGGTCACAAGTACAGATTAGTTTTTTTTCAGATTTTGCCAAGTCCTGTATAAAAGCCATAGCTGTCATAGTCTTTATCCACCACTAGATGTCAGCACAAGTTTATTTTTCAAATTATCAAAATAGAAAATTGCCTTTAAATGAGAATCTTAACCATTCAACAATTCCAAACTTATCCAAATTTAGATTTTATATTCATTTCATTTCATTTCTGTATGTTTTGGTCCTCCATAAAAGGACCAAACTTCCATTAGTAAAAAGGTGGGGCAAAAAAACCCCTCCTTCATGTTTGTAGGTTTTTTGTTTCTTGGGAATTTTTTTCCAAGAAAAGTTAATAAGTAGGATAGAGAAAATCGATGATCTTACCCAGATTCAAATGTGCTTTTTGACTTCGGTTGCTTGTAGCTTAAGCTAGACTCTGAAGTTAGGCTAGCCTTTCTCCTGATGGTTTCTGGAAGGCTTCTCCTGTACTGATCGGACTGCCATCTTCCTTCCTTCTTTGCCACCTCTTTGGGGTGGCTTCTGGCCCATTTAGAGTCCCCTAACAGAAAGAAATTCAGCCAAAGGGCACAGAGCCCCCAAATCCCTTGGCTGCTGCACTACTGCGCAAGACCGGAAGTCTGCTTTTCAAGATTCTTTTAATTTTGGAGCAAACAGCAGAAAGGTTTCTAAGGGTTAGGGTTTCTAAATTATAGTAATGTTCATCAATACAACTGTTTCTGTGTTTCTTTTCTAATCAAATTAATAATAGTAATAAGTTTGTTCCCTACATTTTTCTAAATTGGCTTAATGTGAAAGCTGTTACCTGCTCTTTAAGGCAGCAATGAGACCCTCAGCCATTTTAAAAGCTATTTGTTGCATTTGAGAATTTGTTGGAACAAAAGGTTGGAGTTGGGGGACAGGGCAGAAACGGAAACTAGATTTGAAGCAGAGAGCAAAGAATATTTTCCATTTTATAAGGTAGACACAAAACAAAAAGTTATAATGTTGACTTGTAGGATTAAATGGCCCAATTTCACTATTAGTTGATGTAATTTTATGTAGTTGATATAATTTTATGTATTTTTTTGTAATGTAAGATTACAGAAGATTATAGAGGAAGTACATTCACATATCCCTATTTATATTTATAATTATTAGGACTATACTTTGGACTCATATGAAGAATGAGAACTTCTCAATGAAAGTTTCTAGTCATAGGGTGAATCTAAGTGACCTTTGTCACTTGTTCATTAATGTAACAAACAACATAACAATAATAGAGTTGGAACGGACCTTTGAGGTCCTCTAGTCCAACCCCCTGCTCAGGCAGGAAACCCTATACCATTTCAGACAAATAGTTGTCCAGTCTTTTCTTAAAAACTTCCAGTATTGGAGCATTCACCGCTTCTGGAGACAGGTTGTTCCACTGATTAATTGTTCTAACTGTCAGGAAATTTCTCCTTAGTTCTAGGTTGCTTCTCTCCTTGATTAGTTTCCATCTGTTGCTTCTTGTCCTGCTTTCAAGTGCTTTGGAGAATAGCTTGACTCCCTCTTCTTTGTGGCAAACCCTGAGATATTGGAACACTGCTATCATGTCCCCCCTCATCCTTCTCTTCATCAATTCCAGCAACAGTTCTTTATATGTTTTCACCTCCAGTCTCCTAATCATCTTTGTTTTTCTTCTCTGTACTCTTTCTAGAGTCTCAACATCTTTTTTACATTGTGGTGACCAAAACTGGATGCAGTATTCTATGTGTGGCCTTACCAAGGCATTACAAAGTGATATTAACACTTCACATGATCTTGATTCTATCCCTCTCTTAATGCAGCCTAGAATTGCGTTGGACTTTTTGACAGCTGCAGCACACTGCTGGCTCATATTTAAGTGATTGTCCACTAAGACTCCTAGGTCCCTCTCACAGTTACTACTATTGAGCAAGGTACCCCCTATACTATACCTGTACATTTGGTTTTTCTTGCCTAAATGTAGAACCTTACTTTTTTTACCATTGAATTTCATTTTGTTAGATAGCACCCAACGTTAAAGTCTGTCAAGATCTTTCTGTATCTTAAGCCTGTCTTCTGGACTGTTGGCTACTTCTGCCAGCTTGGTGTCGTCTGAAAATTTGATGAATTCCCCATCTATTCTCTTACCCAAATCATTGATGAAGATGTTGAAGAGCACTGGTCCCAGGACAGAGCCCTGGGGCACTCCACTACATACTCCCTACATGTAGATGCAGTTCCATTGAGGACTACACGCTGAGTACGGCTGGTCAGCCAGCTATGAATCCATCTGATGGTGATGCTGTCTAACCCACATTTTTCTATCTTATTAAATTGAGCAGGTAAATAGGATGTAACATGAAAGATTGCTATGAATTTCTTTAAGGGGAAGAACTATTTGTTTAACTATTTTAAAGGGCAGGATTGGCTTAAAAGCATAGTTTAAAAAAATAAATAAAGGGGAAATGGTCTAGCCCTAGATCTTCTTTAGGGATTTAACCACCAAGGAAGTTAGACTGCTGGACAGATGATTCTTCCATTAAAAAACCCCAGGACAATCATAGATAGTTTTGACTATTTCATGCTTAAATAAATGTAGAATATCAACTCCTGAGCAAAGTCTCTTCCACCAAATTGAACCAAAAGGAAAAATATGTGGAATATTTCTGTTTGACACTATATATTTCCTGATTTGTTTAAGTGAGAACTGATTTATATTAATAAGAGTCATCAAATCAGAATATCAGACCTAGTGTTTCAATACAATTCTTTATCCCTATTTATATCTTTACTGATTTCATTTATTTATTTTTGTCTTCCAGGATCACTGAAAAAAACCTATTACTATTGTTATAAACTCAAGAGAGCAGAAATGAATTCCAAAGATGTTTTCTTCCTTCCCTAATATAAAAATGCCACATTTACTTTTTAAAGCTTTATATTAACTTTCATCAAATTCATTTAACCTATTTGCAACCAAAAGGAAAGGATGAGGAGATGTGAAGCTCACTGTGGCACATTAGTATTTCTGATGCTTGTGGTGATACTTGGTTGCATCCATTTTATTTTCCTTGCCAGGAATAAAATCCATAGTTGTTTCATCCAGTAAAAATCTCCCTGAGCAGAACCAGGTATGTTCTAATAAATGAGATGAGATGATGCAATGTGTTTCAAGAGTGAATTACAAGCAACTGCCAAATGATAAGTCATCAGAACTGGATGAATCAAGGCAGAAACAAAAAGTATGGAACATTCTAATGTAATGTTACATTGTCATCTGAACAGTCCCACATTCTCTAATTTTCAAAGCATCTGCTGTTTGATATGCACATGAATAGAAGGTTAGGCAATAGAGCCAGACGAAGCATGTGCATTAAGACTCATCACCAATTGCTACTTTTGACCTCTGATGTCTAAAATCAATAGTGGACAATCTGATGTTTTTTTTTTAGATGTTGATCATCTACAGCTCCCAGTATAAATTTACAAATGGGAATGCTCATTAGGATGCTGGTACTTGTAATTCAACAACAACTAGATGAGCACAGGTCATACATCTCTGTTGCAATGGTTATGCTTAACATACAAAAGAGACTTTACTTTCCACTACATCTCACAGCACTCTCTTCCTTGTACAGAAACCAAGTCTTTCTATTTTATAATAGCATCCAACTGTAAATCCTAGATCCTAGAAACTAAAAGACTAATGAACTAGGATTTTTCCCATGTGAACATTTTTATTTGATCTTATATTGATATTTATTACCTGCTATCATCCTGAAGTGAAATAATTCATTACCTGATAAGACTCACCTCTTTATAGCCAAAAATTATACGGCCATCATTGAGAAGAGTTGCCTGAAAAGTGAAACTGCCCAGATTGTAATTATCTTGTAGATGTACATGATCCCATTGAACAACTAGTGCAGTGCCTGTCAAGTTGGGAAAAGGAGACAAAAATACTGGAGGAAAGTATATGATTGCAATTTAATAAATTAATTCAACTTCCTTGATTTTGATATCCTACAAAATTATCTGAACATCTAGAATCTATTGTCAATGTACTATACCTGACATTGGGGAAGACAATAATCATATTACTACAACTCAATTATCTTCTAAAACAGACATTATACTGGAAATGTTAGTGTAATTACAACCTTTTATAAACTACGGAACAAAATAAAGAGATGTAAAATTTGGGGATTATTGAACCATTTTCTAAATAATTTATGAAAAAAATCAATTTCCAGTGACCTTCTAGAAACAACATTTTTTTCTGTATAACAAAAGATTACGGGCATTGTCAATTGAATCACTGTCAAAAGAGTCATAGCACTAACAATCACTTCTCTGAAAATAAGCTCAAAGGACATGGAATTTGTACATTCAATATGCTAAGAAACAATTGCATTCTAATTAGATTTGTACATCACATTTTCTTTAAACTCCCTCTAAGTATGTGTATATATTTCATAGCTCACAAGGATCTACAGAATTCTTTTTCATGTAGAGACAATATAACTGTCTTGAAAAAGGAGCCCCGTTGATATAGTGATTAGAATGCAGTACTGCAGGTAAACTCCGCACATAGCCTGGAGTTCGATTCTGATGAGCTCAAGGTTGATTCAGCCTTCCAACCTTCTGACATCAGTAAAATGAGGATCCAGATTGTTGGAGGCAATATGTTGACACCCAGAAAGTGCTGTAAAACACTATGGGCAGCATCTAAATCTAAGTGTTATTGTTATTTGAGGCTCTGATTCTACAGAAATATTTAATGCATATTGTAAATCTGTAGGCTCCATGTATCTACTAGGTCTAATACCAATTACATATTTATCCATTTGTCAATGTAGTTTTCAAATTTCTTTAAACACAATTCATTATAATATTTCTGCATCTATTAGCATTTAAATTTCATAAATGCTACGGCAAGCTAAAACTGTAATGTTTACGGAATAAATATTATACAGTTTGGATTAGAAATACCAACTACAGGGAGCTATCTGACTAACAATCTGTTATGCTTAGAAATGTAAGGTATGGTATCAAGGGTATCAACTTCTATTATTGAAGAATAATTGTCACTTGACTCATGCTTCCCTAGAAGTGCCCAACTTGATGGTAACAGGCAACTGATGTTGAAAAGCAAATAGGATGTACTTGGCTAATCCTGGAGGAGAGACTACAGAAAATCTCAGACAGGCTGGCTTGGCTGGAAAATCAGAAAATAATATCTGGAAGAAGATGATGGTAAACTGTTGCCAACAAAGTAACATGGGGGCATCTATTAAGTCCAGAAATAGAGCTCAGTTTTCATTCAGCCAAATGTAATTTGCTTCGATTACTTCTGAAAGCCTGTCCCTTGGTCTGACTATAGAAACTGGAATCAAATCAAAATATGAAGTGCTACAAGGTCCTTGTTTCTGGTGTGCATGAAACTCTGTGAAAATGACAGGTATTTATTTCTCCAAGAACCCAGAAATATTATATGGGTATTTAGGAGTGCAATACATATAGATATAAATGGATGTTGACTTCTGCTTTTAATTATTTCTGGGTTGATTGTTTTATGATTTTATTTGTGGTTGAAGTTTTGCAATTGATCTTTTTTATTAATTCATTGATTTAATTTCTAGCTTGCTTAATTTCAAAACAGCTCTGCGGCTTTATAAGTTAAATAATCAATATTATATAAAACCACAACATATCTCTAAGGGACAATATAATCTCTGACCACATGAGATATAATGTGGCTTCTCCTAGTAGTTTAACTTAAGCCCTGGAGAAAAAAATAAACATTTTTAAAGATTAATTAAAGTTGGGCAAGATGTATAGAAGTATGTAACTGTAAATTAAATATAAGCTTTACTATACTTTACTATACTACACACACACACACACACACACACACACAATACACAATACACTATTATACTCTATGTGTACTGTGAATGCTTTATTGTTATGATTGTAACTTGCAGGGAATCTCTTTGCTGCAGTGATCAAAGACTAACAAAATTATGTGTTCTCTCCAGGCTAAAAGGTAGATAAATCTATTATTTTTTCAGAACTCAAGCTGTTCAAGTTAAATCAGCAATAATTCTACTGAATGTGAATGCTGTAAGTGATTGCAATGCTTGTTCCTCTAAATCTAAATAAAAACATCCAAATTCAATCTGTATCTCAGATTAACAAGAAGTTTACATGAGTGAAAAAGCTGGAATAGGTTCAGAAGACAGCAAGTAGAATGATGTAGGAGGTAAAAACCAAGCCTTATGGAATGATTAACGAGCTGAGCATGGTTAGCTTATAAAAGAGAAAACTAAGAGGAGTTAGATAGCTATCCACCAATATCTAAACGACAGTCAGAGGCATTGAGGAAGATGTTTTCCCTGTTGAAAACAGGATAAAGATCAATAGGTCAGAATTAAAAATCTGAATGTGAGAAGGAAAGTTGTAAAGAAGTTGAGCATCGTGCATAGAGAGGTGGTAGATTTCCTTTTGCAGAAAATTTTGAGTTGGCAGGATGGCAGCTGCCGGGAATACCTTACAGTAATGGCTTCTGGTAAGTGAATGGTGAACTGGACTAAATGATTTACAATATTCCTTCACGATTGTATGTTTTGTAAATCTATGACAGAGTGGATGGCTTAATTAACTCAAATATGTGTATTCTTTGTATAGTTCCAGCAACAACATTGGATTTTGTTTTTGCATTTTACAATTTTATGTCAGATATTGATCTTTGAGAGCTGTAAATAAAGGCAGGATTATTAAAATATACAGTACTGACACTTCAATTATCTTTATGGAGTTTATTAACCTCTTTGTTTCTATAATATACCCTATGTTTCTATAAAATATGACAAAGAAAAAATGTTTTTACCTCATTAATGGATATTTATAATGCAGATGGTACTAAAAAGAAAACATCATGATCTGCTTTTTTAACAATGCTGACAAAAATTTTGTATAATAGCTAAAGTTTTTATAGCTTTGATAGATTATAATAATGGATAACACATGCCAAGAGACTCTACTAGCAAAAGTTTAACTAAATTAAAGTCTTATATGCAGATGAATAGCTAATTAAATGTATTACATTTTTAAAGCTAAATATTATGATCAACCCCAGTGTGTAATTTCCTACAAAGGGAAACAAACAGCAGCTAAAATAAAAGTAATCTGAACAAAAATATTCACGCTTACCATTGTCAAAGTATCTTACAGTAGAATTTCTCGAAACACTCGGGTCAAAATTGGCCATCAAGGGTGCAATATACTGTGTTGCTGTTAACATCTGATGCACAACTTCTCCTGTGTAAATAAACCCTGTAAAAAGGGAACAAATAGCAAAATCACATCACTTGTTATTAAAAAGATAATACATGCTAATCTTAATTAGAGGCTGCCAGAGTATCAAAGAACTTGACCTGGAAAATTATCTTCAGTTATTATGAATGAATCTGAGTTGCTAAAGAACATCAGAAGTTCGGTAATGGAAAGAATAAATAGAAAAGCAAAAAGAAGGGTCAATCTCAATAGGAAAAAAATCAACATCAAAGATTAGTAAAGTTTTAGGGGAGGGTTTGTGAACATCAACCACTTTGAAAAGAAGGAAAAATTGAAACAGTTACAAGGATCTTCTGGATTCACAAGTTTGATTGCCACTTACTATGTGAAAACAACCATGAATATTGTAGCATTTTAAAGATTACCAACTTTTGCGAACTATAGTCATGCACTCTTATGGGTATATGTATTGCACATGGATTCACAGCAGTGAAATTGTAGAGAAAATAAATCCAGTGGTGTACAGACTGGGAAAATTACTTTAAACCTTAATTATTTCAGTAACTATTCACAAACCATGTATAGATTTTCCCCATGTAGATTTTCTGTTTTAAAAACTTTTTAAAAATGAATTTGTGTTATATTTTAAGTGACTGTATTCTGCCTAGAGAGTTCCTATTATTGGACTATCTCCCTCTCATTCACTTTCTCTCTCACACACATGTTTAAGTGGTGCTGAATTCAGTTAGAGACACCAGGCTACAAAAAGGCCTATTTTATACTGCAGGTTTCCCAATCTGTTGCTATTATTTTGATTCATGTCAGATTGTGTAATTTCTTTCTAAAGCAACCACATTCAATGGATACCTTCCAGATGTGTTGGACTGTAATTCACATTATTCCCAAATGATGCAAGTTATAGGCAATGCTGCAAACTGTATCCACCAAGCAACAGGCAAACTATAATTTCATCTTTAAATTATATTCCTTAGTAAATATCAATGGATGATTTTAACCTTTTTCTTGAAGAGAGAAAAATATTAATTACAAGTATATCATTGTTTCTAGGATCCAATGACAACTCCAATCGATAAAAGCTGGAAAGCCACACAAATTAATCAGATTTAAATGAACACATATTTATTTAATCTATCTGTATGTCACCTCAATCACAGAAGTAAGTATAGAATTTTTCTTGATGTATTGAACATTTTATCATTCCCACTTACACACTGAATCAACCACAAAAGTCAACTAAGCAGATTCTTGAATAGATTTCCACAGACATTTGGCAAAAACCAGTTTATATTGTCTAAGATCCAGTTTTCCAATAGTTCTTGCTCTTTGTTGATGCTACAGGACCCTGTGAAAGTGTTCCAAACCTATAGTTTCCTAAAGTATTTAATCTTCTTTTTTGAAACAAGCACATGCTAGCTGTGAATCATAGGAGCTGAAATTCAACATTCTAAAAAGAAATACTTGGAGAAATTTATGGATGCTTTCAAGCTGTGAGGAATATCCATAGACTGAATTTTGCCCAAACCCATATCAATTTCTTCTCTCACAGTTTTAGATGCCATATTTTTTTAAATTCAGTTTTCCTCCTTCATATTGATATACAATCTTTAGTGATGTAGATTCCAATTCACTTGCAGGGAAGGGAGATAATTCATGGATTGCACAAGTCCCTCAGCTTTAGGATTATTGGGACCAATTTTCTCACACTGTGTAATATCTATCATTTTGATGCTCATTCCCATATTAAAATCACCTTCATTTTAAGTGTATGCCTACTACAATATATTTATAGCTATTACCGAGCACTAGAATTGCATCTATGTCATAATAAATGTTAGACTTTAAAGTATAATAAGATATTTCCTGGGTTTTTCCCTTCCCCCCAACATTGTGCCTTAAAGTATAAGATCCTTTTGATTTATTTCAAGCTTTATAGGTTCCTCAGCACAGAATGAGGAAAACTGACTGGGGAGGATCTACTTTTTGTTATTTCAGTATTAACCTACAGTCCAATTACAAAAGCCTAAGAATGCAATAGTGTAAAATATATTGTAATAGACATACACTTAAAATGGAGTGAGCATCAAAATGACAGATGTTATTTAATGTGAGCAAATTGGGGCCAAAAATTCTAATTATTTATACAAACAAATGGGATCAGAGCTAACAGTGACAGATGAGTAAAGAAATCTTGAAATAATGGTAAAGAGTTTGGTCAATGTATTGACACAATGTACATATGCTATAAAAAGGTTCAACCGCATGTTAAAGATAATAAGAAAAGTATTGAAAATAGAGATACCAACATCATAATGCCCTTATATAAATCAGTGGTGTGAGTGCATGTAGCATGTTGTGTGCAATTTGATTGCTATACCTTGAAATGGATTTGGAGAACTAGACAAGGATTAGAGAAGCCAACTAAGTTGAGCAAGCAGCAGAAGCAGCTTCTCTAAGAAGAAAGGTTGTGATATTTGGGGCTTTTTAGACTAGAGAAGAAGTAAAAGAGAAGGAATGGGAATAAGCATATAAAATTACGTATGGTGAAGACAAAGAGAAGCTATTTTCCCTTCCCAAATATTAGAATCAGAAGTCATCTAATGAAATTAAATTCTATAAGGCAATGGTGGCGAAACTTTTAGAGACAGAGTGCCCAAACCGCAACCCAAAAACCATTTATTTGTCGCTGCGTGCTGGGTGGGCATAGCCGACTGGGTGGGTGTGGCCTCGGTGGTGACAACCATAATAAAAAAACCTTTGTTCCTGAGAGCTGTTTCCCCCCCGGGTCTTTCTCATTCTCAATTCTCTTGCCTGTGTGTTATTTGCACCCCACCCCCCAATTGCTGTATGCTTTGCAGCCCAGGGAGTGAGATTCACCCCCCCCTCCTCAGGGCCCCACTCTTCTGCCTGGTGCTGGCAGCTCCATCATCTGCAGCGGCCGGAACAAGAGGTGGGTCACAGAAGCCCATTAATCTTTTTGCTGCACAGGCACCCGGGGGCTTGCTATTTCCCTCCCTTCACTCAAAAATCTAGGTTGAGGTTCAAACCCAGCTCATGTGCCTTTGCTTAGGAGGAGCAACTTATTATGATTGTGAACTAAGCTGTAATAAGAGGTTTTACTTCTTGCTGATTTATGGGGGGGGGAGGAAGCCCTTGCCCAGCCTGGGCGCATCCCCTTGACGGATCTCATGGGGGTGGCTTCTGCTGCTGCTCTGACTGGTCAGCAGGGAAGCAGGAGGAGGTGGAGGAGCAGCTGAGGGTCTGGAGCCGCCTAAGTTGCTCACTAGCAGCCTGAGGCAGCAGATTCGTGCACCAGCTGCCCCTTCTGCTTCCCTGCAGGGCTGACCGGTCAGAGCAGCAGCAGAAGCCACCCCCATCAGATCCGTTGAGTGGATGCACCTAGGCCAGGCAAAGGCTTGTTTCCGGCTACCCCAGAGCTATTTCCACCTGCGCTGATGGGGCTGTGCGGCCAGTCCGCCATTATGCAGGACAGCCAGCATGCTGTGGCTGCTGACGGACACCATCGGCCCCCATGCGCTGGCTGGCTTCTGTGTGTGGGGGCTGATAGTGTCAGGCAACAGATCTGGAAGCGAAGCTCTGTTGACTATCCTTGCGCTGGCAGCGGCAGCGGCGGGGTAAGGCAGGATCTGACATGCGGGCACCCTTTGCTGCTGCTGCACGCACCTCTGGGCAGGAAGGGAGGGCATCTGCCACAGCTCACCTTCCCCTGCCACTGCCCCCACCAGCGTGAGGATGGTCGGCACTGTTTTGCTTCCAGAACTGCGGCTGGCCGGACTTGGCGATGCAGGGATCACACTGCCACCTCCTGCTTCTCTGTGTGGTTGGCCAGTCAAGGGGCTCAGAACAGCAGCCGCCGCCCCCATCAGAGCCACCCCGTAGACAGGACCCACACCAGGTGAGGGCTCCTTTCTGGCCATCCTGGGGCCGTCTCTGCTCATGCCGATGGGGCTGCACTGGCGGCTCTGATTTCACTCACTCTCCTGCCAAAACTGCTCCTTTTATACGTTCCCTCACTCCGCCCAGCTCTTGCAGCTGTTCCCGGACTGTGCATGCGCAGAAAGGGGGAAGGGGAGGAGCCCAGAAATGGCATGCATGCCCACAGGGACGGCTCTGTGTGCCGCCTGTGGCACGCGTGCCATAGGTTCGCCACCACTGCTATAAGACAAAAGGATTTTTATACAACATGCAATTCAAGTCTGGAATTCATTACCACTAGATGCCTATGGAACTATCACTAGATTTGGTGCTGGTTATCAAGTCAACTGACTTCAAGAAAGGGTTGGCGCAATTCACTGAAGTCATGGGGATCAATGGCTATTAGCTTTGATAGCAATGCAACTGCTTATGAAGACCATCTTCTGGAAGAGTAGTATAGTTATTTGCTACTGTGAGAACAGACTGTTGGGATAGGTGGGCAAAGGGTCTGATTCAGCAGGGCATTGCTTATATTCTAACATGTGATGCTCAGGAATAGACTTTCAGTTCCATTACTGATCTCTGCTCTTTCAAAAATGCCCACTCTTATTCCCTACCTTTCATCTTCAGCTACCAAACAGGAGAGAGAGAAAAAAGAATAGACAATTTATATTATTGCTGTATATAGTAACTAGGAGTCATATAAACAAACATCATGTCACCAATAGATCTACAACAAGTTTCTTCCCAACTTTCCCTTAGCAATAATTGAATTTACATATGGATTGAAAATCTGACCATATTTTAGTTGTATAGAGGTTTTGCATCTACATAAGGCATATTTTGGTGAAGCAGTTTAACCTCAGAGTGGTATTTTTCAAGACTACAGAGAAAGCTCAGGCTGTTTGTCAAAGAAGAGACTCATTTTTTATAACTGAGACAGTGCATGGTGAAACCATATGTTAAAAGCTTAACTGATACAGGAAGTGCTTACTTAGCTGAAAATATAACTGTCTACGAGCAATAATTACACAAGGAAAGGTTTTGTCTAATAAACACTTCTAGTACAGAGTACTATGCTATTT